ACAAGGACCCGCGAGGCCATGCCTCTGAGCCGAAGCAGAGAGGGGTGGCCAAGGCGGTGGTGCCAGAGGAGGGTCTCGTGAGACAGACGACGACACGAACAAGGGGCAGACTCAGGACCAGACCTGGACGCTGCAGCAAACACCTGACCAGACGAAGGGACCCTACCAGACGCAGTACCTGGAGGAGAAGCAGTGGTCAGTGTGTACAGGCTCGACCCCGGCCGACGTGTAAACGTAGCCAGGTGGCGACCTGTATCCGCCTCCGTACAGTGGGTCACCCGCTGACGAGCAGGGGTGAACTGGTGGACACCTGCATCCTGGAGGTCAGCACCACTCACCAAGTTCGTCGAGAACGAGGGGAGGTAGAGACCAGTCAGGGTGCCAGAGGGGGCCGCCGGACACGGGAGGACAGTGGAGAAGCGAGACAGGACAGGCCCCCCAGAGGGGTCCGCCAGGGACACCGCAACAGGCCGACTCAGCGGCGTGAGAGTGGTGCGGTCCCTAAAGAAGGAGCGAGACGCTCCAGAGTCAAGGGTGAAGGTGTGAGAGGCCGAAGCCGACACAGTACCTGAGAGGGCGGACTCACCAGTACCTGAAAGCACAGACGCACTGGCACCTAGAGCAGCAGCCTCACTAGTACCTGACGCGGCAGTACCAATGCCCGGGTCGGGCGGGAAACACCGGTAACAGTCATCCTCATCACTACCAGTCACAGCATACATAGTAGAGAGAATAGCATCAAAATCAAGATCATAAATAGCTACACCAGCCCTAGACAGCTCTCCCCAGCGGGGGATCTCAGCGGCCTCCGGAAACTGCTGACGCCAGGCGTCGGTCAGGCGGCCAAAGCAGCGACGGGCTGTGTGGGCGCCTCCACACCTCTCCCCTGCACGGTCACCAGTGCGAAGAACGTAGGGGCAGGGACCAAGCGCACCACCGCGCTGACGCTGCAAGTACCACTCACGGAGCTGCTGAGGGCCGGGGACGGTGCGAGAGCGCTGCTGCTGCTGCGGCTGCTGCTGCGGCTGCTGCTGCTGCTGCTGCTGGCGCTGACCACCCCCAGAGCTGCTCCGCTGGGACGAGCCACTCCGACTCCCTCCTCCACCGCCACCCCCGCCTCCACCGCCACCCCCGTCGCCACCGCCACCTCCCCCACCAGGACCGTCGCTCCCACCGCTCCCACCGCCTCCTCCGCTACCACCTCCGCCGCCACCTCCGCCTCCACCGCCGCCACTACTACCTCCACTCCCGCCACCACCCCCCCCGCCACCCCCACTCCCCCCTCCACCCCCACCGCCTCCTCAACCGCCCCCTCTGGCTCCACCCGCTCCCTTGCCCCCCTTGCCCTTGCCAGCGCGGCGTCTGCCACTGGGGGCAGACGCCGTGCCGACCGACTCAAAACCAACGAGGTCGGCCGCAGCGGCAGAGGCGACAGAGGGCAGCAGGGGGGAGGGACCACACCCCTCAAAGATGGGGGTGCGAGGGTCACCCCGAGAGGCCCCTACAGCGACAATACTCTTCTCAGCCGCTAGCAGGGACTCCTCAAGGAGGTCGACAGTGAGAGTGGTGGGACAGACAGAGAGAAACTGGTCCCTAACGACACGAAGGGACTCAGGGAGACGGGTGACGAGAAAGTAGAGAGTGATGTACATGGGAGGAGGGTTCGCAGCGCGGAACTCAGCAGGAAGGGCAGCGCGGTAGCGGGTGTCACTAGCGCGGAGGTGGGTAACGAGGTCAGCGACAGTGGGAAAGGAAGCGAGGTCAGGGAAGAGAAACGGTAGCATGAGGCGGCTAAGGGTAGCGGAGGAAGGGGAGGAGTAGCGCGCAACTACAGCGTCGTACAAGGCCTGAGCGGTCTTGCACTGACTAAAGTGGGCACGCTCAGAGGAAGGGAGGTGGCGACGCACAGCAAGACGTGCAGCAGCATCGCGGGTCGCCCACTTGGAGCGAACGGCAGAGTCAGCATCAGCAGGCGGGGCAGGGACAGCGCCAGAGACAAAGTCAAAGAGAGAGACCTCATCTACCGCATCACACAGTAAGTACAGCTGCAGGTCCTCGATCCAGACGGCAAAGTCAATGGCCCTCCCCTCAGCGTCAAAAGTGAGAACATTGGGGGTGGCCATGGCAGCAGCTGAAAGTCTCACCGGGATGGGAGAGTCGGGTAGGTCAGCAGCAGGCGGCTCGGGTTGCTCGGGCGGCTCGGGCGGCTCGGGCGGCTCGGGCGACTCGGGCGGCTCGGGCGGCTCGGGCGGCTCGGGCGGCTCAGGTACCGGGCGGCTCGGCTGCTGCTGGGCGGCTCGGCTGCTGCTGGGCGGTTCGGCTGCTGCTGGGCGGCTCGGCTGCTGCTGGGCGGCTCGGCTGCTGATGGGCGGCTCGGCTGTTGTTGGGCGGCTCGGCTGCTGCTGGGCGGCTCGGCTGCAGTGTAGTGGCGGGGCCGGGACAAGGGACGGCGGGGCCGTCAGGGTGCAGCGGTGGGGCCGAGACAGGGGACGGCGGGGCCGTCAGGGTGCAGTGGCGGAGCCGGGACAGGCGCAGTGGCGGGGCCGCAGGGTGCAGCGGCGGGCCGTCAGGATGCAGCGGAGGGCCGCTGGAAGCACCCGCGGCTGAGCAGGCTGCGGGGCCGCGTCGTAGGAGGCGGCAGGGCCGCGGCTGAGCAGGCGGCAGAGGCCGCGTCGTAGAGGGCGGCGGGGCCGTGGCTGAGCAGGCGGCGGAGGCCGCGTCGTAGAGGGCGGCGGGGTCGCGGCTGAGCAGGCGGCGGAGGCCGCGGCGTCTGCAGGCGGCGGGGCCGCGTCCGAGTAGGTGGCGGGGCCGCGACTGGGTGGCGGGGCCGCGTCTTAGTGGCAGGGCCGCGACTTAGTGGCGGGGCCGCGACGTAAGGGCGGGGCCGCGACGTAAGGGCGGGGCCTCGACTGGACGGCGGGGCCGCGAACGAAGGGCGGCGGGGCCGCAGGGGAAGGGCGACTCGGGGGGGTCGCTAAAAAAAAAGGATCGCGCGCCTCGGGGCGCGCTTCGGTGGGCCCTAGGCGAAGTTCCCACAGGGAACCCGCTCTATACCATGTGAAAGGAATGAACAGGAATGAATTGACTAAGTCAGGGTTGGGTACAAATACAACCCTAGCAAACTGTACCCCATATGTGCTACCCCACTATAGCCTACAAACATGCATCAGCTATAATAATCTGACACGGACAACCCAACACCACGTGCACAGCAATTCGCCGAAATTCTGCAAGCTGCTCGCACCAGAGCCGCGGAAGCAATTAAAAAGGCCAATCTCATCGCTAAACGCATCGATGACCGCCAACGCCGCCCAGTCACGTACCAGTCAGGGGACTACGTACTACTCGACACACAGAACTTAAGACAGCCTGTCATGTCGAAATTACGACCCCGCTACTGTGGACCATTTCAAATCAGCCACATGATTACCCCAGTGACACCCCACCTACTGTTGCCGACGGACTGGTACATCAGCCCTTCGTTCTACGTCAGCCTGCTTCGCCCATACATTCCAACCACAAGCCAATTGCCTCGTCACCACCCGCCATCCATGACTCGCCCTGCATCGGAGCCGATCGTTGAGCCCGAAAAAATCCTGAGCCATCGGATTCGACACCCCATGGGAATCAGGAGGATTGAATTCTTCGTTGGCTGGAAGGATCGCACGCCAACTGAAGATAGCTGGGTGCCCCTGGCCAACATCGAAAACCACCCTGCCCTGCAAGTGTACCTGAGGAGCCGGGGTTTCCGCGATATACACGCACTCGCGTAGCGGAGGGGGCTTCTTGAGGGGGGGGGGGGGGGGGGTAGTGTAAGGAATTTTCTCGATATTCCTTAGCGCGCCCTGCAACATCGCGTACAGCAGCAGCCGTTGTTCGCCCGTCACTGCTAACGGGGCTTCGCCGACTTCGCGCGCACTGTTTCACCAAACCTCGCACTCCTGGCCTGGCCGTATCTGTCAGAATCCCAACCACTAGACCATTGGGATAAAAGGGCTTGTTTCAGTAGCGGGTCAGTGCGCCCATAACCCCCCAGGCAAACGCGCCTGTAACCCCCCCTAGGATCGATCGGGGATCTCACAGTGTAGCTCTACTGACAGTATCGGCCTACGCTTCTGGACTAGCCCGAACCTCGCTTCCAGCATAGCACTAGCTAGCTCGCACGCACCGCGTTACCGTTTGCATGTTTCGCGTATAAATGTTCGTTCATGCCTTCGCTCACATTTTGTACTCGTTTGACACCTTAGTGCAATTCTAGCTACTTGGATTCATTGCACCCGTAACACATTACATCAAAACCCATCATGCATTGTTTGTACATTGAAATTTGAGCTTGATGCAGTTGCATTATCATTCTTTCATATTTTGAAAAAAAAAACAGCCCTCGAAAAAAAAGGAACACCTTATAACTCTGATAATAAACCGTAAATAGATTGCATAAGATACCGAAATGAGTTAATAGACGCTATTTATCGTGAATGTAGTTTGAAAATGGATTGCGCTTTGAGTTTTATGTATTTTATGTACATTCGCACAGAGAATAAACTCAACATCAGTATTAGGGGTAACATAAATTGGTGCACCGATCTGCGGTGCGAGCGTCGCCAAGCTCAGAATTCCCACCGTTGCCGCTCCCAGTTCTCTGGAATTCTTCGCTGACCCGTTGTTTCTTCGCCGCAAATCCTGAGGCCTCGCCTGACACTCACGCTTGTTCCACCCCACGCTCACGCTGATTTCATGCCCACGCTCACATCTCCGCAAATCCCAATGCCTGACCACCACACAATTTTTTCCAGCCTAGCATCAGTGATCACTCTTTTCTGCTTCCTGTCGGAACGGACTAGCCTGCACTGCAGCCACATGATCTATCAGTGACCAGAAAATCCATCTGGTCTGAGCAGGGCCGCAAAGGCCGCTCGCCTTTCGTGGACATTTTATTATTCGCTCATATCGGTACCTGCTCGGACTGGTAGTTAAAGCCGTCGTCTGTTGGCCGGTTGATGATCCGCTCGCGCGCCGTCCACAGGCTGCTCGCGTCTTCTCTTTCGTACCGCTGTTTAAGCGTTGCCGCTCCTTGCGCCGGTGACTCCACTGCGGGGAGTCTTCTAATCCAAGAGTCACCATCCACGGTTAGTTCTTGAAGTTTCCTCCTGCTCGATGAGTCGCATCCTTGCTCATTTTCATCAATAGTAGCTCCGATTGTCGATTTAACGTTGAATCGACATAAGTGGCTGGAGAAGGCTGCGAAAGGGCTTTCCAGCGGTGGCGTGTCTCTCCGCTGGGAGCTACATTTTCTCTAGTATTACCGATTCGACTACATTCTGGTTACAACCATTTTCATTCAAGTTACCTCTAGTTCTCTTGTAAGATAGCCAGAAACGGTTCAAGCAGGTTTCGACTTCCCTTTGATCAAGGGTCCCATTTTCGCACATTTCATCGCCTTCGCTCCCTTACGTAAGCCCCTTCCTTTCCGTGCGGTTCTCGCGCCTTTTCCGCGCTCTTTCCGCTTTAATTTCGCGATCGTTTTCGCATGCTCCTATCGCACGCCTTTGTCGATTCCCTCAGAGCGGCAGCATACGAAGCGCGGACAAGGCCAGCAGCGCGTCACCCGCCAGGAAAAGGAACAGCAGCAGCAGCAGCAGCAGCAGCAGCATCAGCGCGAGTGCCGGCGCCATGGATCGCGAGCGGTTCTTGGGCGTGTTCCAGCAGCTCAAGGCGGAGCTGCTGGGCGAAGACAAGCTCTTCTCGTGCACTCCGGACTCGAAAGCGTGGATGGAGAAGGTAGGGGAAGGATAGCGTGCTGCGGATCACATGCAGTACGGTATAACTTGCTGCGGATCTCATGCTGTTTAGGGCCTTGTTCGTAGGCTACTAGCCAACTCAAAATGCGCTGAGGATTGCGTGCAGTATAGGACCCTGTTTTTAGGCTCACCCCTCCTTCTCTCTGCATACATCGCCATCCCGGTCTCCTCCCCATCTCTTCCGCATATCCCCTCCATCTCCTTCCAACTCTTCCCCATTCCCCTCCCCGTCTCTCCTCCACGGCCCTCCCTGTCCCCATGTACGCGTTACTGTGCTCCTCGAATCTACTCCCATGTGTCGCCTCGCCTCTGCGCTTGGCTCTGCTAATGGGACCACCCCGCCCGCCAGAACATCGACCACAATGTGCCTGGAGGTATGCACGCTCTTGCCGCCATGTCAGTAGCCACATCTCACCACCTCAGAATGCTATTTGTTGTGCATATTCATCTGGCACACTCTGATCAACACACTCTTTGCAACACACGCTGATCAATCCAACGCACTATAGGCACAGTGTAGTGTTTGACACAGTGGGTATTATCAAGTGCATCTTCTATCAGGCCGGCTCCCATTCACCTTCCCATGTCCGCTGTGCCTCTCACCCTCTTTTCCTCCCCCTCCCCCTGTGCGCCAGGCAAGCTGAACTGAACTGCGGCCTACCAATGGTGGACACGGTGGGGATTCTCAAGGGCGGCTTTAGTTGGCCAGTTTCCCATAGCCGTCCCTGTGTGTGTTGCACCTCAAACACTTTTCCCGTCCCCTTGCTTGTCCGCTTCCCCTCCCCACCCAACTCACCCCTGTGTGTGTGCGCCGCCAGGCAAGCTGAACCGCGGGCTATCAGTGGTGGACACGGTGGGGATTCTCAAGGGTGGATTTGATAAGCTATCGGACGATGAGGTCTTCAAAGCCAGTGCTGTTGGCTGGTGCATTGAATGGGTATGGCCCCATGGGTGGTGTGCATGGCTGGAGTGGTGCGAACTGATTGGGTATGGCTTGTAGCTTGATTAGGTATGGCTGGTGAATCGAATGATTGTGGCTTGTGAACTGATTGGGTATGGCTGATTACACACCCTCTCCCTGCCGCTGTACCTGCGGTCCTGCCTTCCTCTCCCTCCCCCCACCCTCTGACCCAAACTACAGCTCCAGGGCTACTTCCTGGTGGTCGACGACATCATGGACAGCTCAAAATCGTTGCCTGCCCTGAACTCCCCAACCACAACCCCCCTCCCTCCTCCCCCCCCCCCCCCCCCCGAGCCCTGCTCCCCCTCTTCCCCTGCTTCTCCCTACAGCTGCAGGCGTACTTCCTGGTGGTCGACGACATCATGGATAGCTCCATCACCCGCCGAGGCCTTTGAGAATTCCCCATAACCCCCCTCCCCACTCCTCCCATCCCACCCACCCACCCACATATCCCCTGCTTCTCCCTACAGCTGCAGGCGTACTTCCTGGTGGTGGACGACATCATGGATAGCTCCATCACCCGCCGAGGCCAGCCGTGCTGGTACCGCATGGACAAGGTGCGTGCACTGCACGCATGCGCATTTAGCTCTGCTCTGCTGTGCTATGTGGTCACGACACAGCACAGTGAGTGGGCAATGTGGACAAGGTGATTGGGTGGTGGGGACCAGTTGAGTGGGTGGTGGCAAGGTGATTGGGTAATGGGGGCAAGGTGATTGGGTAATGGGGGCAAGGTGATTGGGTAATGGGGGCAAGGTGATTGGGTAATGGGGGCAAGGTGATTGGGTAATGGGGGCAAGGTGATTGGGCAATAGGGGCAAGGTGATTGGGCAATAGGGGCAAGGTGATTGGGCAATGGGGGCAAGATGATTGGGCAATAGGGGCAAGGTGATTGGGCAATGGGGGCAGGGTGATTGGGCAATGGGGGCAAGGTGATTGGGCAATGGGGGCAAGGTGATTGGGCAATGGGGGCAAGGTGATTGGGCAATGGGGGCAAGGTGATTGGGCAATGGGAGTAAGGTGATTGGGCAATGGGGGAAACAAGGTGATTGGGCAATGGAGGCAAGGTGATTGGGCAATGGGGGCAAGGTGATTGGGCAATGGGGGAAACAAGGTGATTGGGTAACGCACAGGGTTTGTATGGACGAGGTGAGTGAGTGGGACATGACCGCGCATGATTGATGCCAATCGAGTTTTGAGGCGTCTCAGAACGCCATCAGAAGTGATGCTGTGCCGTGATGATCAACGATGCCACATCTTCCTTATTCTCTCCTCAGCTTTGCATGCATACACATTCCTCCGTCCCCACATGCATGCACCCATGCACCCATGCAACCATGCACCCATGCCTTCATGCATACACCCATGCGTTCAACCATACACCCATGCATTCCCATGCACCCATGCACTCACCCATGCACCCATGCCTGCGTGCCTACAGGTGGGAATGATTGCCATCAACGATGGCGTGTTGCTCAACTCACACATCTTCCTCATCCTGCGCCGCCACTTCTCTTCCCACCCCGCCTACACCCGCCTGCTCGACCTCTTTAATGAGGTACGCGGCTCCTCCCCCCCCCCACCTTCCCTTCTGAGGCGCCTCAAAGCTGTGTCGCCACTTCTCCTCCCACCCTGCCTACACCCACCCACCTCCTCCCACGAGGTACGTTGCTCCTTCTCCCGTTCTCCTAACTCCCTGTTCTTGCATTTCCCGCTTCCCTTCCTTCCCTGTGTGGACAGATGCTCGCCTTATCACCACGCCTTCCATCTATTTATTCCGCTCTTATCCCCTCCCCTCCCCTCCTCCCCTCCCACTTCCCTCCTCTACAGGGACCTATGTGAGGGTTGATGCTCCACGTCTCCACACCTTCTGTTTGTACCCGTCTTACCCCCTCCTCCCCCCTCCTCCCCCCTCCTCCCCCCTCCTCCCGCCCTCCTTATTCCCACAATCCTCCCCTCTCCAGGTGACATACCAGACAGCGTGTGGCCAGATGCTTGACCTCATCACCACTCCTGAAGGGGAGGTGGATCTCAACAAATACACCATGTCCACGTGGGTATACTGTGGCATTACACCATGTCCACGTGGGTATACTGTGGCATTACACCATGTCCACGTGGGTATACTGTGGCATTACACCATGTCCACGTGGGTATACTGTGGCATTACACCATGTCCACGTGGGTATACTGTGGCATTACACCATGTCCACGTGGGTATACTGTGGCATTACACCATGTCCACGTGGGTATACTGTGGCATTACACCATGTCCACGTGGGTATACTGTGGCATTACACCATGTCCACGTGGGTATACTGTGGCATTACACCATGTCCACGTGGGTATACTGTGCCATTACACCATGTCTACGTGGGTATACTGTGGCATTACACCATGTCCACGTGGGTATACTGTGGCATTACACCATGTCCAGGTGGGTATACTGTGGCATTACACCATGTCCACCTGGGTATACTGTGGATCACGCCATGTCCACGTGGGTGTACTGAGGCATTACACCATGTCCACGTGGTTATACTGTGGCATTACACCATGTCCACGTGGGTATCCTGTGGCATTACACCATGTCCACGTGGGTATATTGTGGCATTACACCATGTCCACTGTGGGATACACCAGCTCCACGAGGGTATACTGTGGACGTCCATGCGGGCGGGTATACTGTAATGTAATGCATCATGTCCACACCACATGGGTATAAGGTGGCAAGATACCACGACATTTGTTTCATCTGTCCACCATCCGTCCCTTCTTCCTTACAACCTCTCCTGACTCCCGTCCCCCTCCCTTCCATCCCACTCCCTCCTCTCTCCCTTCTCCAACTCTTTCCCCATTTTTCTTCCCCTTCCCCTGCCCCATGTTCTCCCAGGTACCTAAAGATTGTGCAGTACAAGACGGCCTACTACTCTTTCTATCTCCCTGTAAGCACCTTCCTTTCTCCCTCCCTCCTGCCCTCCGTCGTCGCATCCCTGTACGAATTTTCTGCGTTCTCATCGCATCCCGCCCAAGCACTTCCTTGCAACGTAGCTCTTGAGAGGAAATCACATCGGGGGAAGAAAGACAGAAAACAAAAATCCACTCGTCTCACAACCTCATGTCAAGCGTGCACCCTTGTCTCTCTCCCTCCCAGGTGGCTACTGTGCCTATACTGGCTGACTGGCGGGCTTTGGAGACCTTTTCAAAGGCGTCTGCTTCCGTGCCCGCCCTCCTCTCCTCCACCACGTGGTGTCGGCACTGATCCTGGGCGGGGGGGGGGTGGAGGATGCAGCACTGGCAGCATAGGCGAGGGAGATCCTGGGGCGACTCAAAACACAGAGTTAGTCAATCAACTGAGTGACACATGCTGAGTCGAGTTCAATCACTCCTCTCCTCCACCAGGTGGTGACGGTGCTGATCCTGGCGGGCGTGGAGGATGCAGCACTGGCAGCATAGGAGCAACCCTGCCCGGCCAGTTGCCACGCCAAGGGCCGTGTGTTTAGACCCACCCCTGCCCCGTTTTCACCCTCACCTCTCCTCCCCCAGGTGGCAGCAGAGCTGATCCTGGCGGGTGTGGAGGATGCAGCACTGGCAGCACAGGCGAGGGAAATCCTGAGTCCACTCAAAACACGTTTCTACCATTCGAAGCACATATTGAGTCGACTCAAAACACTCTTCCCTCCCAGGTGGCGACGGCACTGATGCTGGCGGGTGTGGAGGATGCAGCACTGGCAGCACAGGCGAGGGAAATCCTGAGTCCACTCAAAACACGTTTCTACCATTCGAAGCACATATTGAGTCGACTCAAAACACTCTTCCCTCCCAGGTGGCGACGGCACTGATGCTGGCGGGTGTGGAGGATGCAGCACTGGCAGCACAGGCGAGGGAAATCCTGAGTCCACTCAAAACACGTTTCTACCATTCGAAGCACATATTGAGTCGACTCAAAACACTCTTCCCTCCCAGGTGGCGACGGCACTGATGCTGGCGGGTGTGGAGGATGCAGCACTGGCAGCACAGGCGACGGAAACTCTTCCTGTTGTCACACCAGGCCCGTGTTTCTTGAACCCTCACCTCCCTTTCTCCCCCTCTCTCCTCCCCCAGGTGGCGACAGCGCTGATCCTGGCGGGCGTGGAGGATGCAGCGCTGGCAGCACAGGCGAGGGAGATCCTGGTGATGATGGGGACGTACTTCCAGGTGCAGGACGACGTGCTCGACTGCTTCGGCGACCCTGCCGTGATCGGCAAGGTGCGTAACTAGTAGTTAGGTTAGAGAGCGTGCGTGTGGTGGTAATGAGACCAAACGTGCTAGTGTGGTGTGGTGGTGATGGGGACGTACTTCCAGGTGCAGGACGATGTTCTTGACTGCTTTGGGGACCCTGCCGTCATTGGGAAGGTAAAGTGGCTGGGGATACACACAGGCCATGTGGTTTGGGTATGCTTGTGTGCTGGTGGTGATGGGGACGTACTTCCAGGTGCAGGACGATGTTCTTGACTGCTTCAGGGACCCCGCTGTGATCGGCAAGGTGCGCAACTAGTGGTTAGGTTAGAGTGCGTGTGGTGGTAATGAGGCCAAACGTGCTAGTGTGGTGTGATGGTGATGGCGACGTACTTCCAGGTGCAAGACGATATTCTTGACTGCTTCGGGGACCCTGCTGTCACCGACAAGGTGGGAATGCCAGAGCAAAGACAGGTGCATTTCGAGCTGGCTGGTGAATCATGGATGAATCGTGAAGTGGTCTCATCAATCACCAACCAGGTCGTGATGAAGGCTGGCTGGTGGTTATGTTAATCACAGCGTTTGTGTGTCACAGCACCACCACCCCGCGCCACGCACCCCTGACCCCGTACCCTCCAACCCGCATCCCTCTCCCCACCCTCCACCCCTCACCCCTCGATCCTCACCCTTTTCCCAGGTGGGCACGGACATAGAGGACACCAAGTGCTCGTGGCTCGTGGTTCCATCTGTGTGTCACGCCACCCATACCCATTTCCCCCCGTGCATCACCAGGTGGGCACGGACATAGAGGACACCAAGTGCTCGTGGCTGGTGGTGCAGGCACTGCAGCGGGCCACACAGGAGCAGAGGGAGATCATTGAGGTGAGCGCACGTGGATAGGGGCACTTGAGAGCACTTGTGTGTTGTTGTGAGCTGGTTCCTGAGGTTACTTTTGAGTCGACTCTAAAGGTGCTGCACACGGCCACACATGAGTAGCGGCAGATTATTGAGGTGGGCGGGCATGGGTAGAGGGTGCTTGGGAGGACTAGGGGGCGTGGGTAGGGGGCACTAGTGGGGACTTGTGAGGCAGTTAAAGGAGGTGGTTGAGGTGAAAGGGTGTGGGGGGGACCACGAGCAGATCTTGACTTAGGGCGTATTAACACTTCCTTCCCTCCCTGTCCGCCCGCCTTTCTCCTCCCCTGCCCTTCCTCTCTGCCTCTCCCTTGAACGCAGAGCAACTATGGCAAGAAGGACGAGAAGTGTGTGGCGGTGATAAAGCAGCTCTACACACACATGAAGCTGCAGGTGCGTGCAGCTCAATCTGTGGATGATTGTGGTTAAGCTTGACTGAGTGTGGTTGAGAGTGGTTAAGCGTGACTGAGTGTGGTTGAGAGTGGTTATGCGTGACTGAGTGTGGTTGAGTGCGGTTAAGCGTCACTGAGTTTGGTTGAGAGTGCTTAAGTGTGGTTGAGTGCCACGAGAAGTGTGTGGCGGTTATGAAGCAGCTCTACACAGACATGAAGCTGCAGGTGCGTGCATGAGTGCATTGAGTGGCTTGGTGTGTAGCTGTGAGTGCAGATCTGGTGTATGCAATCTCACAAGGAGGACGAGAATTGTGTGGCGGCCAAAAAGCAGCTCTACACAGACATGAAGCTGCAGGTGCGTTCAGCATGTGGCTGCATTGAAGTTCCAGGGTGGAGAGTGGTGAGTGCTGCATTTATTTCAGGATTGCAACAGAAGGATGGGTCCCATATTTTTTGTAGTGGAGTGCTAGTGCTGCTGCACCAGAGGTGAGTTTCGAGTTGTGAGACGTCTCAAAACTACGTGGAGTGTTAGTGCTGCTGCACCAGAGGTGAGTTTCGAGTTGTGAGACGCCTCAAAACTACGTGGAGTGTTAGTGCTGCTGCACCAGAGGTGAGTTTCGAGTTGGAGGTACGTCTTGATGAAAGCACCGTGAAGCCACCGTAAAAACATCATGAAAGCATCAAGTAGCGAACGAGCGCTGCTTTGTGCTACTATGCTACACCGCATGCACTCAGACGAGGATCAAGGCTCCAAGCTTCCACCTTGCCTCCCGCTTGAATCCCGCCCTCGCTTCAAAAGGCAACCTCTTGAAAACCAAGGGTCCTTTGCAGCATTGGCATGCATGCAAAACTGACGTGCCCAAACCGGCTCACCTGTGCAGTGTCTTGGCCACTGAAAAAGTGTTGCCTGAGCCATTGCACTCATAAGAGCCGCCTAGGAATTTGCACTCGTAAGAGTTGCCCAAGCTGTAGCACTCATGAGAGTTGGTCCGAGGCCGTGCACGGGTACGAGTTTGGTTTGGGCCGGGCCGTGGTTATGGGCATACCAGACTGCTGCATGGCTCACAGGCAGTGCTGCCCGCCCATGAGGGCGCTGGACTTGCTGCTGCTGCTCAGCTATGCCTGGTTTCTGGTGTGTTAGTTGCCGCGGTCACATACAGTTGTTTACTCGTTTGGTTGGGCCGTGGCTATGGGCATGCCTGATTGCTGCGTGGCTGACAGGCAGTGCTGCCCGCTCAAGGGGTTGACAGCCCTGAGGGTGCTGGCGATGCTGCTGCTTCTCACCGGTGCCTGTTTTCTGGTGTGTTAGTTGCCACGTTCCATTATGGGTGCTCCTCTTGGCGCCATAACTATCCTGTTTGTCAGCATTTGTGCTCGAGTCTTATCTTCTGGTCCACTTCCATGCGTTTCCCTCCCGCCACATATTGCCTCCGTTCACTTCACTTGCGCACCATTACTCCCCTCCCATGGCATCCTGCAGGATGCATTTGCGGAGTATGAGAAGGACAGCCACGGCTGGCATCAGCATCATTGCCACCCTCTTTACCCACCTCAGAAACACCCCTTTCCCTCCATTCATTCCACTCCACTCATTCCCGTCTATGCATTTTCCCCCTCCCTTCTCCCCTGGAATCCTGCAGGATGCATTTGCGGAGTACGAGAAGGAGAGCCACGCTGGCATCACAGCCGCCATTGCCCAAGTGGAGAGTGAACCGCTGAGGGTGAGTGCACAGCGAGCCCCTGAGAGTGAGTGCACAGCGAGCCCTCTCGCTGCATGAGGGGCTGCATGAGGGGCTGCATGAGGGGCTGCATCAGGGGCTGCATCAGGGGCTGCATCAGGGGCTGCATGAGGCGCTGCATGAGGGGCTGCATCAGGGGCTGCATCAGGGGCTGCATGAGTCGCTGCATCAGGGGCTGCATCAGGGGCTGCATCAGGGGCTGCATCAGGGGCTGCATCAGGGGCTGCATCAGGGGCTGCATCAGGGGCTGCATCAGGGGCTGCATCAGGGGCTGCATCAGGGGCTGCATAAAGGGCTGCATTGTGCTTGTAGGGGGCTGCACTGATGGGATGCATCGCCGGATGTGGCAGCTGAAGCTAGCCTTGGCAGACATGCAACTCTACTTGCCATGCACCCACTTGCACTTGCGCGCATCGTGCTCCTTGCAGGAAGTACTTGTCTCCCTGATTTCGTTCCGCTTGTCTGTCCACCCTCTCACGCCCTCCCTTTTGCTGCGTTGACTGCATTTGCTGCCGTGCTGCTTGCAGGAGGCCTTGATGTCCTTCCTCAAGAAGATCTACAAGCGCCAGAAGTAGCAACTGCTGACATGTTAGCCTGTCTGTGGCGCACCTGGTACCTGAAAATGCTCCAAAAAACGGCAGAATGGTTTTTACCTCCACACCACTAGCACACACGTTTGTTACACGCCCCTCAGTCCAATGATGGGGCTGCTTAGTTTAATCGTGGGGCCTCTGTCTTCTGGTAGTTATGGGCCCCTGGTCTAGCAGTGGTAGCCAAATTACACCAGTAACAGGGCCCTAGCCTTGTAACCAGTATCAGGGCCCTAGCCTTGTAATGGGCCCTAGTTTATTGTTGGGACCTAATCTAGAGGGCCTAGTCTAGTACGGTAACAGGGCTCTGTCTAGTATATTGGGTGCAAGTACCGGTACTACAACTTGTATCATTTTTGCTACAATCCCAAGGGGGACTTAGCGAAGGATCGCTCAAGGTTGATCGCAGAGTAGTGTTGCATCGGAAGTTTGAATCTCAGGTCAGAGTGAATGTAAATGACTAAGTTGATAAAAGCATGCATACATCGAGTTTATATAAGAGTATAAGGGAATACAAAAGGACCTAGACTAGCCATGTACTTAAAGGGGTACACTCCCTTATTGCGGTGCGGGAACCCGTTTCAAACCTGTTCCCGCTCTTTTCACTTCAAGTGTTTCTGCCGGCATCGGTCTTGGTCAGACGGTTGCTGTGTCGTTTCGATTCTTCTGACTCTTCGACTTCGTACTCGGTAGAGTCGGCTCCTGCAGCATACAGGAATGCCTTCTCACAAAACTTCATATCGTAACACTCCCCTTCATTCCTGGGCGCAGGGGGAGCTGACTCGCTTGACTACTCCGGTGAGGTCAGAGCAGTGCTTGTACTGCTGATGTGGCAGACGCTTGGTGAGGAAGTCTGCTGCCATCTCAGTAGTCGAGCAGTAGGCGAGGTCAACTTTTCCCTGGTCAATTTCGTCCATGACGAAAAAGAACCGTAGCGCGATGTGCTTCGTGCGGTTCACGAAACCTGGCTTGTTCGCGATCCTGATAGCACTCTGTTTGTCGCAGTGAATGCGAAAGGTGTGAAATAACGAGGAATGAAGAAGAGAGGGGTTGCACTAGCAGCAGTTGGCATACATATAGGAAACCCTAATTGGGTTGTACTTGCTATAGAGTACCCCACTGCAGGCTAGACAATTATAACATTCTGACACACCCCCATAGCCAAAGTGGGGTGTAATCAGCACAATGAGCAAGCAGGCATAGAGCAGGAGTTCACATGAGCGAGCAAAGCTAGAGTTAATCACAGCGGGCAAGTGAGGAGGAGGAGGAACTGTGGAGGGAGAGAAGATGGGAGGCAACGACTGAAGCTGCAGAGGCACGGGCACAGGAGCGGCTGACTCAGTGGCTACCGAAGCAAGGGCGACGGACTACTGGAGTAACTGGCTCCGCGGCTATAGACGAGCGGCAGGAGCAACGGACCCACTGGCGACTGGTGCAACAGGCTCATTGGCTACCGAAGCAAGGGCGACGGACTACAGGCGCTGCAGGCGACACGACAGCTACCTTCACACAACCTCCTCCAGCTGCCCCACACCTCTCGACACACACCCCCTGCTCAAACCCTAGTTCCACTCCCACAGCACCCCCTTTCACACACACCCTGCTGCACCCTAGGTTCACTCACACCCCACCCCCTAGCACCACTCCGTCGACTCCCACACACCCACCCCCCTCAGCGGCAGCTGCAGCAGTGGGAGACAGAGGAGGAGGAGGAGCAGGGGAGACCACACACCTGCCACCCCCTACTCGCCACCCCCAAACCCTAACACATGGCAGGGCGGGATGGCGGGTAGGGAGGTTACGGGGGGGGGGGGGGGGAAGGGGGGGCCGACGCGCGGCCTCCCAGGGCGCCAAAGCAGGCGGCAGAAGGGGCGACGCTCGCCCCCCCCCCCCAGGTCCCCCCAGGGAGCCGCGACGGGCGACGGGAAAAGAGGGGGGGGCGGTGCATGTACCCCCGATGCGCCGCGACAGGCGACGGAGCATGGCCGGGGTGGGGCCGTGGCAGGGTCGAGGCAGGGCCGAAAGGGGCGGCGACGGGGCCGCAAGGGGTGGCGACGGGGCCGCTGGAGGCGGCGACGGGGCCGATAGGGGCGGCGACGGGGCCGCGAAGGGGCCGCGAGGGGCCTGAAAGGTCGGCGACGGGGCCGTTAGGGGCGGCGACGGGGCCGCAAGGGGCGGCGACGGGGCCGCTGGAGGCGGCGACGGGGCCGATAGGGGCGGCGACGGGGCCGCGAAGGGGCCGCGAGGGGTCTGGAAGGGCGGCGACGGGCCGCTAGGGGCGGCGACGGGGCCGCGAAGGGGCGGCGACGGGGCCGCGAAGGGGCCGCGAGGGGCCGAGAAGGGCGGCGACGGGGCCGCAAGGGGTGGCGTCGGGGCCGCTAAGGGTCGCGCGAGGGGCACGCCACGGGGCGTGCAGCACACAGAGTAGCAGCGGAAGCAGTTACGTGGGCCCATAGGCCAGGAGCGTAGATGCTCTGATAGCATGTGAAATAACGAGGAATGAAGAAGAGAGGGGTTGCACTAGCAGCACTTGGCATACATATAGGAAACCCTAATTGGGTTGTACTCGCTATAGAGTACCCCATTGCAGGCTAGACAATTATAACATTCTGACAAAAGGTAGGCGAGGTTGGAATTTTCGCCTCCTGTAATAGCTCCTGCAGGTACAGGCCTTCGCGAACTGCTGCTATCGTGGCGATGTATTCTGCTTCAGCCGATGACAGGGCAACCAGCTCCTGCTTCTGTGAGTTCCAGGAAATTGGTTCTGTTGGTTCCAGGCGGAAAACGAAGCTGGTTCGGGACCGTTGATTGTCAGGATCAGCGGCATGATCTGCGTCCACGTAGCCGTTGAGGTTGAAGGAGGTCATTGTCAGCGTGGAGTAGGAGAGCCTGATGTCAGGTGTGGAAACGAAGTACTGCAGGGCGCGCTCCAAGTCCAGCTGGTTCTCAGCTACTGGCTTGCGGGAGTACTGTGCCAGTTGGCTGGCGATGTACGAAAGGTCGGGTCGGTAGTTGACAGAGGCGAATAGTAGGCACCCCAATTTCTGCTGGTACATTTGGAGTCCTGCGGGCGACACGGGTTGGTTGTCCGGCTTGTAGTTGGCACTGGGGTTGCGGTAAGGAGTTGAGAGTGGTGCGGGCGAAATGTTGAAGCGTTCCCCCAGCTGCTCTGCGTACTTGGAGGCTGACAGGTGAATTGCCTCTGGCGCGTAGGTGATGTTCAGGCCCAGAAATTGTTTCACACTGTGGTTGATGGTGATGTCAACGCGCTACGCCAGGTTCTCCTCAAACTGATTAAGGAGCTTGTTTCGGGTGCCCGTGTACAGCAGATCGTCGACGTAAACTGTCAGGAGGATGTAGTTGCCACCGAAGTGAAGGCGATACATTCTCAGGTCGTGTGGCAGCTGCTTGAAACCAATTTCAAGAAGGATCTTGTGCAGATGCTGCTACCACAGACGAGGCGCTCGCTTGATCCCATAGAGGGATTTCTTCCGTTGACAAACCGTGGAGTCCCCTTCTCCGTAGGTGTGAGGCTGCTCCACGAAGATGGTAGCATCCACTAACGCGTATAGGAACGCGTTCTTCACGTCGATCTGTCGTAGTGGTAGGTGCTTAGCGGCGGCAATGGTGAGTAGTATCCGGACGGGGGTGTGACGACTGACGGGAGCGAAAGTCTGGTCAAAGTCGATGCCGTGTCGCTGATCGTACCCGCGTACGGCCCAGCGTGCCTTGAATCGTTCGATGGTGCCGTCAGCGTTAGTCTTCAAGCGAAAAACCCATATTCCGCTGAGTACTCTCCTCCCCTTCACTGCTGCACGATCGACGAGGACCCATGTGTCTCGAGACTCCAGTGCCTTTAGTTCCGCGTCCATCGCAACACGCCACTCCTTGGCGTGAGGGCCGGTTAGGGTGTGGCGAGGGTTCTTTGGCTCCACGGCTCATGCGAGTGTGGTGACAGACGTGTGTAGGCCGAGAAGTTGTAGGCCAGACACATTGGTGGTGTCTGTGTTGGTAGAGACTTCCACCACATCGTCGTCTCCGCTTTCGTAGCCGGATGCAGCGGTGCTTGGCTCTGCTTGGCGCCGTGACGGCCCTGGCGCAGGGTCATCGTCACTGTCATCGTCGTCATCGTCGCGCGGGTGAGGCGGGATGTTGGGGTGCGTCGGTGTCATCGCGGTCCAGTGCTGCTGCTGCTGCTTCGTCTTCTGGAGTCGCAAAGCTGCGACCCGTGTTGACGTAGCCGCGTGCCTGGTTACGGTGCTCGTCCTCGAACCATTGCTTTAGGGTGAGTCGCTCGTAGAAGAAATTGTCACGCGCGGGAACGATCTCTTTGCTGTCAATGTCAAGAATAAGCCACCCTTGGTGCTCATGACTGAGCCCCAGATGAATTTGTCAAACATTACATATGTTGCTGTTGTGTAGGCTACAGTGGGTTTAGCCTTAGGGGGTACAATATTCTAGGGTTTCCTACTTGTACTCCCAATCTCACTAGTCCAAACACTTCTCTCATTCTGACATGGTATTACAAGCCTAGGTTAGGAACCTAGGACCGCTTAGTCCTAAGGGCCCACCTTTCCGCTAGTAGCGCCCTCAAGCGCCCTCTCGCCGTCGCGCCCTTGTGCGCCTCTCTCCTAGTGCGCCCTCGTGCGCCTCTCTCTCTCACGCTGCCCGTGAGCGACTCGCTAGCCGCCCGCGCGCGGCCTATTTTTTCTAGCGCGCGCCGCCTGCTAGCCGCCTGCACGAGGCCCAAATCGCGCGCGCGACGACTGTAGGCCGCCCGCGAGACTAGAGCCGCCCACGAGCGGCCCGTTAGCTGCCCGTCGACCGGACCGGCTGGCCTTCCAGCGCGAAGCAGCCCCGCCTGTAGGCAGCCGCGTCGCTTTCGTAGGCCGCCGCCCCGCTTTCGTAGGCCGCCGCCCGTGCGCGACTACAGCCCACGCACGACCGCTCGCCCCTAGGCCGACGCTCGACCCACCGCCACTCGC